TTTAATAAAACACTAATCCAATTCACCAATTTTTTTTAATATGTTATCCAACTCAATTCAACAACTGTTTATAATGCAATTATTTATTCAATAGATAAATTCGACCAAAATGCTTATATTGATGACAATTATAATAAATTCGACCAAAATGCTTATATTGATGACAATTATAATAAATTCGACACACATTTTATTATTCTTTATTTATTTGAGGGTATCGTTCAAGTTTCAGAGACAATTTCCTATCATGGTATCATATGCTAGGACAATCAAAGAGTATCAAGAACAGTGTCTCTCAAACGTCAGCTTTTAGTCTTGGCGAACACTGTTTTCAGTCATGGACAATTGTACGTTGTTCTTTCTAGAGTCACTAATCGGAAAGGTTTGAAGATAATGATATGTGGTGGTGATGATTCTGCGGATATGAAAACCATGAATGTTGTGTATCAAGAAGCGTTTAAAAATATATAAAATTGTTTTCTTAATTCATTTTTTTTTTCATGAATAAAATTACAATTATAATTTTGTGTTTTTCTTTTTATATTGTTATGTTTTCTAAGTATTCTCCTCCGTGCAAATGCACGGATCATTTACTAGTATCATTAAAAATGGGGAACCTAATTAACTACCAAATAAATTAAAACAACTTTATAACAGGTTAAAACAACACACTCAAACGTAGAGTTTTTTATACTCTTCGAGCTTTTATCAAACGAAGTTAATGTTTATGATATGAGCTAGAACTCAAACTGTTTACCAATATAATAAACTTATAATATGAAAAATTATGTAAACATTTATATTTTCTTCGAAACTTCATGAACCCGACTCTAGCTAATTAAACGAGTTTAATGTGTCTAATATTTTTTTTATTGTTTCTATTTTATTTATATATAATACTAGTACTAATATCTATTTACAACATGAGTTTTAACTTAATGAATATTTTTGTAAAGTTATTTATGTCTAATACAAAACCTAACTCCAAAATAAAAATAATATAAAAATAATATCACGAAACATAGATTTTTGTCATGTCAGCATCCGAAGCGTGAGAATCAGTCACATAGGCTCAATACGTTTTGAGTTAATATATAGGATTAGTGAGGGATTTTTTTTTTTTTTTTTAAATGCCTATGTACAAAAGGCAATCCACTCAAATAAAAAATATTCTAACAAAAATAGAAAAAATAAAAAGAGAAAAGGTAAAAGAAAAGGACCAATAATGTCAAAAATGAAAGTGACGTATAGATAATATTCGTATTCTCTCACATGCGACACAACGCCATTATTCTCTATAATATCAGACTTTCAGACTCCACTCACAAATCCACTCCCAAATCTACACACACACACACGCACAAAAATTAATCAATGGAGCTCACTCCACGACAGCTGAAGAACTACGACGGCACCGATCCGTCGAAGCCGATCTACGTGGCGATCCGCGGCCAGATCTACGACGTAACCGCCGGAAAATCCTTCTACGCCCCCGGCGGCGATTACTGCATGTTCGCCGGCAAGGACGCCAGCCGCGCGCTCGCCAAGATGAGCAAGGACGAGAGCGACGTCGTCCCTAACCTCGCCGGCCTCACCGAGAAGGAGATCGGCGTTCTGGACGACTGGGAGAAGAAATTCCAGGCTAAGTATCCTATTGTTGGCACCGTTACCAATTAGGGCTTCTACAAAAATCCCCCCCTAAAAAAAATCCCTAACTTTGTGGTTCGATCTGTCAGTGTGAAATCTCAGAGTTTGAATGCTTGTTTGGTGTTTGTATGCTTTTTCTGTATATGGATTTGTATGAATAAAAATAAATTGCATTTCTGGTTATGATTCTGTAGTAAAATGGGTATATTTGAATGTGTAATGCTCCATTTGTTGTGGTTGGTAATTATGTGTTGTTTATTGTAGTCCTGGCATGAATTTTGTTTGTAAGATGTGGGGTTGTTTATAACTAGACTAGCTTCATAGTTCATCGTCGTCTTCGAGTGTTTGTTCTTGCGACTAGCTTGAACTACATGTGTGTATCAATAATGTTGGCAAAAGTGTCCTTTAATTTTGATTTGAAAGACGCTTGGAGTCTGATAGTTTGGCTCGTCGGAGTTTGGAAACTTTGTAATTTCTATGCATCTTAGTAGGGGCTTCTGAGACCACTTTGACATAAATTTTGGGTGTATTTGAGTTTTAACTGTATCAACACGTGTGAAATTTTTGGGGGAATTTTACCTTACCGTGGAGTTTGAAGTTTTAACCTTCCGATCAACACACTTATATTGATCAACACACTTATACTGATGTGTGTGAGTGTGTAATAGCTACCCATTGGATAGGGTTGAACCTTTTCATAAAGAGCAAGAACCTCAGGAGGATGGTTCGAACTTCGAAGGGGTGGCCAAGCGTAGTAGACTATAGTACGCAAGACAAGTCACGTCCGGTCACAAATGTCTCAGCACTTCTCAAGTTTAGAGACAATAGGTTGTAATAGTCCCGTTTTACGTGATATAGTCTTTGTCGACTGTGTTTTCTCATCGTCAACAACAAGAAGCATCGATAGAAATCAGACCAAGCAACATATTTTGGTGACTAAAATTACTCAAAAGAACATCGAAACAACCATACAAGGTATATAATTTGATTGAATATTTGAAGAGCCTGACATTCTACAATAAGTTAGTGGATCAACCTTGATAGCTGATACCACAAATGGCCAGAACAACTTAACTGAATTCCGAACTGAAAATCAGCATAACCTCACCCAAAATAAATTAATTAACACTCTGAAGAACAACTCGTATGTTGTAATAACGTTCGATTCTGCTTGGTTTTGCTTACCCTTCATTTTCTAAACTAAACTAACTGAACTGAACCGCACCAAATTGCAGAGTTGTGCTCGGTTTTGCTCACCCTGCATTGTCAAACCCTCGTAAGCAACCCATTATTGCCATCGTCAAATCTATTCTTCGAAACCACTAAACCTTTACGAGCATATGAATTCAATACATGAATGCCGATGTAAAAAAAACTGATAAGCACGAGGAAATCAAGCAGCACAAAAACCGAAAAATTGAAAGAATGAACTTCACCTCGACCCTTCTTCTAGTGCCTTTTCATTCTCTCCGGCTGCTTTTGAGCCGCTAATCTGTAAACCCAATAGACCTGCATATCGAAACACAAAATCCATCAGAAAAAAAAGGCAAAATCAAATCAAATCAAATCAAATGTAGATTTCGCCATGTAAAGATGCCGACCAGAGCAATAACGTGGGAAACGACGAGAAGAACGACCATGAGAGGTACGAGGTCGAGAAGCCATGGCCGCGACGATGCTTGCTGGGGATTCATCGTCGACTTTGCTGAACAAATTGTATTTACAGTTCTGTTTATACAGTCATATAAACCCCAATTTGTGTGCTCCCAGATTGTGTTTTGCAGGCGAAGTTTTGGTCTAATTTACATTTAGGCCCTCGATGTGGGCTTTAAGTGTAATTTTACTAATTTAGTCATGGTTGATGAAGGTTTAATTCATACGTGTCACAGTATATGTTGAACGTGTCATGGCTGATAAAGGGTTTAATTTTGTTGTTTGCATTTTGACCCACTATTTTTTTTTCAGCAGGTTCATATCTTGCCTGGTTAATCTCAATTTGGTCCCTGCTGTTATCTCAAATATAGAAAACGCATCTGTGTGATGAGGTCATACTCCACTCATTTTTTGGGGTTAAATTTTGATTATGTGAAAATTTCAAAATCCTTGTTTTGTTTGAAATTTAATCTCTGTTTTAATTTAAATAATAAAACATATAAGCAAAATTCAACTTGAAATATTTGACAAAAAATTGAGCGAATCTTAAATTTCAAACTTACTCACCCCAAGTTTGTATGGTAAGCGTGTCTGTCTCTACCTTTTTTAAGTTTTAACGACAGTTGCACATGTTGATACATAGTTCGATCTTTTGTATCTCATAATTACTTTAGTATTTTAGACTCTCACTTTCGATAATCTCATACAAATCATAATTACTTTAGTATTTTAGTCTCTCACCTTCGATAATCTCATACAAACGTGTGCATAGTATGACAAACGAAAAATTGAGCGAAATAAAACATTTGGATCAATTATATGTCAGTTCGATTGTCGTTTTTTATTTTTAAAACTTGGGTTATTTTAGTTTGATTTTGATTTATCTTCTACATAAGGTCACATCGTAATTTTGCTTTACTGTCATCTCTCCTTCTTCATGCCATATAACGAGCCGAAAACGTAACTTCTAATGCCTGGATTGCTAATTGTAATTCGATTTGCGAAAATTTAAAGCTCGTATAATTTAATGCGATTTGAATTGAAATTTCATATGAAGCAAAATCACAAGTTAATTTACAATTTATACTTCTTTTTTCTTTTTTTCTAAAATTGTTATACATAGTCTACAAAACACACGGTTTATTAAACTTATAAATTACCTAAAAATGAATAAATTCAGTAGGAAAAAATTGTGCGCATTGCAAGAAATAATTTTACAATCTGAAGGTATAATATAAATATTAAATTTAACCGTAATACTAATAGGAATTAATCATTCTAAATACATATGATATATTATGTAAATAATATTTTAATTTAATCATTGTAAGGAAAAAAAAAAAAAAA